GGGGGGGGGGGGGGGATGTGATGGGGATTATTTTTTGAGGGTTCTGAGGTGAGTTTGCTTGAAAGAAAAAGTGCTGGCATGCAGCAGACCTGTTAACTACTGGGATCCAGAGGGGTGCTTAAGTTTGCATTGAGTGCACTTTGTGATAGTGCTACCTTGAGGAGACAGTATGTTTGTATTTGTTGTATAGACCGCAGTGGAGACACTGATTAAAACATGTCCATCCAGTTAAATATTGTGGGACTGGTAGATATCCTTGAAAGACCGGGGAAGATGAGCAAGGAGCAAAGATGGATAATGTTGAGGGGCTGGACAGGTGGGTAGAAGAGATCATATCAAAGCATGAAATTAGAGGAATTAAAGCACTACATACCTCAGAGAGGAGAGAGGGGATATGATGTGAGTCATAGTACCTGCAGATAACAAATAGAAGAGGAAGATGAGGTAGTCTTTGAAACCAAATAATACAAGCAGGGAAGAGAGAAAAATAAAAATGACTTACACTTGATCTGAGAATGTTTTCTTGCAAATTAAGTTTGGCCAGAGTTAGACTAAGCAAGAAACTGCTGAGGAGGACTTATGAGTTGGCTGAGTGTACCAGTGGCTCATCCACTATGTATCATCAGGACCAACTGGTACCTGAGAAAGCCCAGAGCAGAAGGGTGCTTGACTCACAAGCATGTCGGAGATGACCTGAACCTATCCTCTCCCCACCTTCCACACACCTGTATTCTCTCCCTCCCCAAAATCCATTCTTCCACCCCTTTCTTACCCACTTTTTCAACCATCACAAAGCAACTTACCATAGTATTCTGTAGTTACAATGCCTTCATAAAAATTGCAACCATCCGCATGTCAATCCAGAACCACTCGCACAACTTTATCCTCTCTTGGCCAAACAATCTCCCACCAGACAATCTTTTGGTCAATGGGCCAAACTGTACCACAAGATGCAGAGGGTATTTCGGGATCCAGAGGGATACAAGACTTGAGGGGCATTAAGCTTATTGTCAGCTGAAGATTGGGAGTTCATGATTGAACTCGTCCCACTGCAAAAAAAACTTGCTCAACTGTCTGCAGTTGACATGCAGCATACTCCAGCCAAGCTGCCATCCAAACTCCA